CTCACACACACACACACACTCACACACACTCACACACACTCACACACTCACACACACACGCACACGCTCACACACTCACACACGCTCTCGCACTCGCACACGCACACGCTCACACACACACACTCACACACGCACACACTCACACTCACACACACACACTCACACTCACACACACACACTCACACTCACACACACACACTCACACTCACACACACACACTCACACTCACACACACACACTCACACTCACACACACACACTCACACTCACACACACACACTCACACTCACACACACACACTCACACACGCACACACTCACACACTCACACACGCTCTCGCACTCGCACACGCTCACACACACACACTCACACACACACTCACACTCAGACGCTCACACACACACACTCACACACGCACACACTCACACACACACGCTCACACACACACACTCACACACTCACACACACACACACACACACTCGCACACGCTCTTGCACACGCACACGCTCACGCACTCACACACACACACTCACACATACATACATACACATACATACATACATACAAAAATACGGGGTTTTAAATCGTACCAAGTGTTACCTTTTGTATTATTTTACTCCATGGCTTGCATAGACTGCGACGATAAAACTGCCATTTTCTGCCACCAGATAGGCTCCGCCCACAAAAAGCGTCATCACTGTTTGCAGACACTGAAAGCACCGCAGGGCGCAGGTAATAATAATAATAATATGAAAGAAGAATAATGTCTGCACAATATTCCCCGCATACAGTAGGTGGCGCTTTCCCCGTGACGTCTCACGCCGACGCGATGCGTGCTCGCGCTGCCAGCTAGCGTGCGCGTCCCCGTGTTCAGTCCGTCACAGTGGAGATGGCGAGCTCGAGCTCGAGCGAGAGGCTGGTTGTTCTGCGGGACGCGGAGCGCTGCAGGTCCGAGCTCATTCACAGCGTGGGTAAGAGCAGCACACTCTGTACTACAGCTCCGCGGGGCTTCTCCCTGCTTTGTTCACCGTAGTTTCATAGAAACGTGAGCACTAATTCCTGCAGTTAGCATGCTAGCGGCTAACCGTCAGGATCGGACAAACCCCGCTCGTGTTTGCTTGTATTCCTCGAGGAAGCTACAAGCCGCGCTGCACTCGCTCTACATCTCGTCAACGTGTCGTGGTTCCTATAGAGTTACTTTGTGTAGTGTAGGCCTGTCGCAATAATCAATATATCGGCTTATCGCGCAATATATCTACATGACCGCAATCATTTTGGTGACGCGATATATCGCCCCTTATATTTACTTAAACATGAATGTCTGCATGTTTTGTTGCATTCCACTTGCGCCTGTGTCTTCTGCAGCTTCTCGAGCATAACGCTGTGCAGCCATGAGCTGCTCGGTCACATCTAAATAATGCTAATACAGACAGTTTCTGCTGCAGATATGGCCTTGTTTAGGGATCTGTGTCTCATCTGCTGATTAGTGCTTGTGTTTCAATCCCCAGATTGTGAAGGTCTGGGGAAAACCTCCATACAAGTTATTTGTGCATTTTTCTTTTTTTCTACTTGTTACTTTGCACTTTTTGTTAGAAAATGTTTATTTACTATTTATTCAAGTTTTTTAAGGTATCTTAATATTTAAGATATCTATAATAAAATATTAAGGTATCATTAATATTTTGAAAATGCATTATTATGCTGTTATATTATGATTATATGTTCAGTGGCATGAAATGGTCTTAAAATGACAACAATATTGTTTATCGCAATTATTTCTGGGGCAATATATCGCACAACAAAAAGTTGTTATCGTGACAGGCCCAGTGTATTGTGTGTGTGGTCCGTCTGAATGTTGTTTTTAATGTGCGTTCACGTGCAGTTCAGTGTGAGCATAGATGAGGACTGATGTCTGCGGTCAGCCGTCTAGTTGAGTGTCTTTCTTCAGACATGTCTTGTTGTTTAGTTGGCGACAGTTGGGTGAATGAAGGTCATCCGAGGCATTTGTAAGGACCTGGGATGTCATGAGTTTAAAGACATCTTCTAAACGTCTGTTTGACATCTGAAATGCGTCTTGCAGACGTCTGCTATCGGGGCAAACTCTGTTAAAGACGCCTCAATCCCTGATGGCACACACACATCACAGAGATGTCTGTTTGACGCCTATTTTTTAGTGTTGCTCATCTGCGATACGTCTATAGCACGTTTCCTATCAGATGTCAAATAGACGTTTAGAAGATGTCTTTAAGATGTTTATGATTTAGAGTGTATGCAAAACTGACATCTTACAGACGTCTATCAGATGTTTGTACACAGCAGATGCTTTCCAGATGAAGAGATCTTTAACAGACTTCTTGCAGACATACCTGTGCTATCTGGGATCACGCTTTAATTTAATTTATGCATTTAGCAGACGCTTTTATCCAAAGCGACTTACAGTGCATTCAGGCTATACATTTTTTACCAGTATGTGTGTTCCCTGGGAATCGAACCCGCGACCGTTTGCGCTGCAAACGCAATGCTCTACCACTGAGCCACAGGAACACTTAAACACGCTTTAATGGCGGTCAGGCATTAAACTGACTGGCAGCTTCTGCTACTGGCGGGTCACATGACCTGCCACCGACAAATGTCAGGCAGATCCGCGCTCAGTTCTCTTAAAGGGGTCATATGATGCTTTTTTAAAGATCATTATTTTGTGTATTTGGTGTAACAGAATATGTTGACATGCTTTAATGTTCAAAAAACACATTATTTTTCAAATACTGTACATTATTGTAGGTCCTCTATGCCCCGCCTCTCTCAAACGCTTCGTTTTCTACAAAGTCCCTCCTTCCGACAAGTGCAGTCTGCTCTGATTGGCCAGCTGACCCAGTGCATTGTGATTGGCCGAACACCGCACGCACTCGTCGGAAATGTAACGCCCCTTACTATAATCGCGAGCTTCATCTTTCAAAATAAATGTAAAGACCGTAAATAATTTCATTAGTTTTACCATCAGTTCAAGCCTGAAAGAGGAACAGAGTCGTGTGACAGACACAGTGAGGAAGCTGGTCTCTCTCTCTCTCGC